CTAGAGCAGCAGCCTCACAAGCACCTAGCGCAGCAGTACCAATGCCCGGGTCGGGCTGAAAACACCGGTAACCCTCATTCTCCTCACTATAATCCACAACATACATAGCAGTAAGGATAGCATCAAAATCAAGATCAAAGATCGCTACACCAGCCCTGAGAAGCTCATCCCAGCGAGGGATCTCACTAGCCCCAAGGAACTGCTGACGCCAAGCGTCCGTCAGGCGGCCAAAGCAGCGCTGGGTGGCGTGGGCACCCCCACATTGCTCACCCGCACGGTCGCCGGAACGAAGAACGTAGGTGCAGGGACCAGTACCCCCACCCCTCTGACGCCCAGCGTACCACTCACGAAGCTGCTGAGGCGAAGGGATGTCCCGCGAGCGCTGCTGCTGCTGCCGGTGCGAGCGCTGGCCACCACCACCGCCGCTACGCTGCTGGGTACCACCCCGACCAGCTCCACCTCCTCCACCACTACTGCCTCCTCCGCTGCCGCCTCCACTGCCTCCACCTCCGCCGCCTCCACCTCCGCCGCTGCCTCCACCACCACCGCTGGCACCACCACCACCGTCTCCGCCGCTGCTGCCGCCACCACCACCACCACCCCCGCCACTAGCCCCGCCGCCACCCCCACTCCCTCCGCCGCCACCGCCGCCACCGCCACCGCCCCCTCCAGCTCCACCCGCGCCCTTGCCCCCCTTGCCCTTGCTGGAGCGACGTCTCCCACTAGGGGCAGACGCCGCGCCGACCGACTCAAGACCAAGCAGGTCGGCAGCAGCAGCAGAGGCAACAGAGGGCAGCAAGGGGGAAGGAGAGCACCCCTCAAAGATGGGGGTGCGAGGGTCACCACGAGAAGCACCTACAGCGACTATGCTCTTCTCCGCTGCAAGGAGGGCCTTCTCGAGGAGGTCGACGGTGAGAGTGGTGGGACAGACTGCGAGAAAGTGGTCCCTGACGACGCGAAGGGAGTCAGGGAGGCGTGCGACTACGTAGTAGAGAGCGATGTACATGGGGGGGGGGTTCTTAGCGCAGAACTCAGCAGGAAGGGCGGCGCGGTAGCGAGTGTCACTAGTGCGGAGGTGCGTAATGAGGTCAGCGACAGTGGGAAAGGCAGAGAGGTCAGGAAAGAGGTAGGGAAGCATGAGACGGCTCAGTGCAGCAGTGGCAGGGGAGGAGTAGCGCGCAACTACAGCGTCGTACAAGGTCTGAGCACTCTTGTACTGACTAAAGTGCGCACGCTCAGAGGTAGGGAGGTGGCGACGCACAGCAAGACGTGCAGCAGCATCGCGGGTGGCCCACTTAGAGCGGACAGCGGGATCAGCATCAGCAGCAGGGGCAGGAGAGGCGCCAGAGGTGAGGTCAAAGAGAGAAAGGTCGTCAGCCCTGTCGCACTGTAAGAACAGCTGCAGGTCGTCTAACCAGACCTCAAAATCAATGGCGCGACCCTCAGCGTCAAAAGCTAGGACACTAGGGGTAGCCATGGTGACGACAACGACGCAGTGCAAGCAGTAGGGAAAGAGCTCGCAGTGTCAGTGGGACAGTGCTCACCAGGCAGGGCAGGTCGTGCAGTCAGCAGAAAGGCGGCTCAGCGACCGGGCGGCTCGGGTGCACAGCTGCTCGGCTCCCGGGCGGCTCGGCGGCTGTGCGGCTCGGGCGCAGGGCGGCTCGGCTCCCGGGCGGCTCGGCGGCTGGGCAGCTCGGGTGCAGGGCGGCTCGGCTCCCGGGCGGCTCGGCGGCTGGGCGGCTCGGGTGCAGGGCGGCTCGGCTCCCGGGCGGCTCGGCGGCAGGGCGGCTCGGGTCCCGGGCGGCTCGGCTGCTGGGGCGGCTCGGCCGGGAGATGCAGCGTCGGGCCGGCAGGTGCAGCGTCGGGCCGGCAGGTGCAGCGGCGGGCCGGCAGGTGCAAGTGGCGGGCCGTAAGAGGCGGCGGGCCGATGGGTGCAGCGGCGGGCCGGTAGGTGCAGCGGCGGGCCGGCAGGAGCAGCGGCGGGCCGGCAGGGTGCAGCGGCGGGGCCGTCGGCAGCAGAGGCGGGGCCGCGTCAGAGGAGACGGCGTGGCCGCGTCAGGGGAGGCGGCGGGGCCGCGTCAATGGAGGCGGCGGGGCCGCGTCAGGGGAGGCGGCGGAGTCGCGTCAGGGGAGGCGGCGGGGCCTCGTCAGGGGAGGCGGCGGGGCCGCGTCAGGGGAGGCGGCGGGGCCGCGTCAAGGGAGGCGGCGGGGCCGCGTCAAGGGAGGCGGCAGGGCCGCGTCAGGGGAGGCGGCGGGGCCGCGTCAGGGGAGGCGGCGAGGCCGCGTCAAGGGAGGCGGCGGGGCCGCGTCAAGGGAGGCGGCGGGGCCGCGTTAAAAGAGGCGGCGGGGCCGCGTCAAGGGAGGCGGCTGGGCCGCGTCAGGGGAGGCGGCAAAGCCGCGTCAGAGGAGGCGGCGGGGCCGCGAGTGAAAAGGCGACCCGAGGGGTCGCTAAAAAACAGGGCGCGCCTCGGGGCGCGCGTCGGTGGGCCCAGACAACGGTCCTAAGGTAGGACCCGCTCTATACCATGTGAAAATAGGAAAACAGGAATGGATGAACTATGAATGAAAGCAGTACAAATATGAAACCCTAACTGGGTTGTACCCCCTATGGGATACCCCACTACAGCCTACACAGCAGTATAAGCTATAGATATGTTCTGACATCACGTACCTCTGTTCGCGTTTCAGTGCCTAACGCTCGTGGTGCTTCTGCTTCTGTGTCCTTCTGTTTCTGTTTGTTGCAGTTACTTCTGCTCTGACCTGTCTTCTTCGAAGAACAGAACACAATCAGACGTCGTCTTTGTGCTGACTGTCTGCAGCTGCTCTCTTAGAGTCTCTGGTAAGTACCAGTTCGTCCTTATCTTGACATGTGCTTCGGCAACCTTACGTTTGTTTGGGTTATATTTTAGTTGTTGTGCAGGGTCGACTTCCCAGCGTTCAGTGTCCTCCCTTATTCCTCCTCGTCGAGACCTAGTTTAGCGTGATAGGTTGTGATAGTTCATCATCGTGACAGTCTAGCTTGATAAGTTCTGACTAGATAGATCGTGCGTGCTTGTATTTGTATTTCCCGGGTGTTGTAATATCAAGACTTGATAATATTGGCTGTGACAGCCGTTACTGTAGTCATGTCGTAACTATCGTTTTATGTTGAATCGTGGTATCATTAAATGTACAGATTGTTTACAAAATAGGATATTTCATGCCGTTCAATAGTTACTGGGTTACCATTTCGTGTTGCAACGCTTTATTGTTGAGTTATGTTTTATCGATTGTCGGGATTTTACTGTACACATTCGATTCGGGTACTGGATCGCTTTAAAAACAGTCCAAATGTCATCTGACACTGCGACGCGCGTTGTGTTTCAATTCGACGCTGCAATCAACCTTGCTTTGATTTCGACCAATGAAAACCTTCGCACTGTCCCTTTCCCAAAGTCAGGAACAAATCACAGCTGACAATACCGTTCGTTCGTGCGGTGTTACCGGTTCTCGTGTGCAATCAGAAGTGTCGGGCATTTCGCCGATCACACATTCGTTCCGACCTGTAAGTAACTTTGCAGCATGTTTACGTTCGGGAGGCCCCAACCCTCACATCGCATGATTTAAGTATGTTCGCTAGTAACCAGAACGCTGAAATCTGGACACCAACCACAAAGTAACTAGAAAATAGCTTTGTAGTAGGTTTAGCTTGCCATCATTTTTGGGATGTGTGCATCGCCAGCATATCATCAACTCCAACCGAAGCGAATGGCGTTTCGCGCGACAGGCTTGCGGCGGAAGGCGTTCGTGGCAGGAATCAAATCAGTGAACTGCGGATCCTCGTTCACCAGGAACAAGGCGCATCGCGACCGGCAGCAGCAGCGCGCCAAGTCAAGGAACCGTGGAGGGCGACAAGCGGAAAGAGGGAGACTACGGCGAACAAACCGGGATTCGCGATTCCAAAATCTAGGTCTCGGGTTTCGGCGCGACTCCGCATTTTGGCAAAGTCTGCTGCTGTCTGCGAGAAGCTGTGCGCGGCCTGTTGCATCGTTGCGCCGCGCGAAGAATCGCCTCGAAATACACGCCATCGCTTCACGCTGCCAGACAGTATTCGCCCAAGCGGCTCCAGTGCCGTTACAGTAAGGCGAAGCGGCTGATGCAATACTGGGACTACAGAAGCCCATATATGACAATGAAATCCTCTTGGACGATGGAAAAACGAATCTCGCCGTTTGAAGCTCGCTTTAGATGTAAGCATGAAGAAACTCGCGTCGCGTGCAAGAGTTACTGAGACGGTTCTAAAGTATGTCGCAGTGACGACTTCCTGCCAAGCTAGAAGAAGGAACAAGGGGCCCGACTCGACCATTTTACTTGTATGGCAATACGGAATGGCGAGTACACTCATCATGAAACCTGGTGCACTCGGAATTGAACAAATTTGTGCTCCCTGAACGAGCAACGACGACTTTCTCCCAGAGGGTTACAAGAACATTCATTGTCGCCGACAAACGAAACGACAGTAATTGCACTGGTTACCCGAAAGCGACTTCCAGCGAAGCCTTGGCGGGACGGATGGCAACATGCTTGGCCGCACCCAGGCTTGAACTTCTCGGCCTTCATGTTCTCCAAATCTGTGAGATGCAGCCTTGTGTCAGTTTCCTAGTTCTCAAACCCTAATCGCTCCTGGCAAATCTTGGTGGTACCTTTCCGTGTCCCTGCGGAGGCTTTGCATGGTGTTCGATAAGGTACGCTACGTGGCGGCAATACGTCGTTCTGCACCACTCACGCGACGCACAACCAGTAATGTGTTCAGCTTTCCCGTCCACCGCTTCGCACGCACCCCTTCCCCACCTGACTCATTCCCGTTTGATGCTCACTTGAGACAGTGCCGAGGTAAGCTTCTGCTGTGCTTACTGTCTTGCTATCCATACCCTCCCTCTCGACGTTTTTCATACCAGGTCCTCCAGTGCGTTCCGTACCTAGCACTTCTTCCGGCGTCTCTAGTATCTCGCATCGACATCATGGAGTCTCAGCCCATCCATAATCTTCCAGACGATCTACTTTCTAGAATCCTTACTCACTCCTCCGAGCAACCGGTTTCACGCGGATCGCACCTGGACAATTTGGCCACTGATGTTTGGCCAAACTGGCCACGTCTCATCCTCGATACAGTTACTCCGCACTACACATATCTGATCCCGGACGTGGTACTAGCCCCTCCTCCCGCCGCCGACGTGGCTCGGAATCTCATCATCGCGTCCGTCTGCCGTCGTTGGCGTTGTCTGGCGAAGCTTTACGTGACCACGCTCTCCGTTAAAGCAGACCTCTCAGCTGCCTTAGCGTGCTTCCCCAACCTCACCAATCTGCATCTCAGCGACGACAGCATCGAGTCGCCCGATGACGCCTTCCTCTCTCACCTCGCTGTGTCATGCCCAAAACTCACGAGTCTCCATGTGGGAAGGAGGTTTGCAGGGCAATTGCCCTTCGACCGTATCAGCCCAGTTAAGCATTATCGTAGAAAGGAACATCCGATGACAACGGAGGGCTTGAATTTGTTTTTCCAGAAGCTTCCTGAATTGGAGCTGGTTACCCTCTTCTGCCTCCTCCACCAAAAAACAGAGTTACCGAAATCATTCTTTCAGTTGAGGCGTCTGCACACCTTTTTTCTCACCGACTCTCCAGCCTTGGAGAAACCCGGTTTCACCAACCTCACTGCCCTAACAACCCTGCACATCACCTTCCCCATGCACCATCGTCACCTCTCCACCCTCCTTCACCTCCCACTGCTCGCCCATCTCTTCACCTCCGCCCTTCACCAAAGCCATCAGCCGGCAGGTGCTGCAAGCGTGACGCTGCCATCCTGCCTAAAATCGCTTATCTTTTTCTCATCTTGTCCACGAAATCTCAATACCATGTTCGCATCAGCATCGCCTTTGACCAAGCTGGAGGAGCTGCTCATCACCAACTGCAGTAGGTTGGAGTCCTTCCAGACCACATTGGAGATTTGCTGCCGTGCCTTCGCAAGCTGGCCATTCGCAAGTGCTTTTCTTTGGAAAGCCTGCCTGAAAGCTTCATTTCTTTGAGCTGTTTGGAAACGCTCATTGTCTCTAATCCTACCCAAAAACTTTGGTCACCTGCCTACCCTTAAACTGCTAGTGCTGAAGGGTTTGCGTTTCTCCGAACTCCCTCCTTCCTTGTGTCATCTCACGTCTCTCGAGGCCCTTTTTCTAGATGGTTTTTTCTACCTTCGGCAGCTGCCAGCAGGTTTATGCCACCTCACGGCTCTCAAGGCACTCTGCTGCTCAAACTTGCCATATCTTGTGCTGCCAAATGACGTGGGGGCGCTTGCAGGTTTAGAGGCTCTCAAGTTGCGTGGCTGCCCGCACACGCCCCTCCCAACTTCATTCTCCCAACTTTCTTCCCTCACAAGCCTTGAGCTTGCTGTATGCGGAGTGCGTGGGCTTCCAGATGCCTTGGGAGAGCTGAGCAGCCTACGAGAGCTGAAGATCGTCAATTCTTCAATTAGCGCGCTCCCTACCTCACTAACACGGCTTAGGAGACTTCAGACCTAGGAGGTCAGAGGCTGCGAGTCACTTTCAGAAGTACCCTCGAGGCTGGATATGCTCGCGGGGCTGAAGACACTGGAGCTGACTGATTGTGAGCAACTGGGTACACCCCCTGCTGGTCTGCCACCGTCTATTGAGACCCTGTGCTTGGGGCCCTTCAGGGAAGGCTCTTCCCATGTGGTGGACATCTCGCACCTGTCGCAGCTGAGGGTGCTGAAGCTGGAGTGCGTTGGGGTGACATGCGGGCCTGCAGGGACCAGCAGGTGGTCGTGTCTGCAGCAGTTGGAGCAGCTTGAGATGCGTTTTGAAAGCGGCAATCAGCAGCCCCCAGTCCCCCTGAACTTTCTCCCTCGCCTGCGCAACTTGCTGATAGAGGCGCCGGGAGTATGCAGCCTCCTGGAAAACATGGGGGTAGCGTTGCCGCTACGGCAGCTGCAGCTTCTTTCGTGGACACCGGAGGAGCTGCCAGGCAGCATATTGGACCTCCACTCGCTGACGTCACTTAAGCTTCGCGCACCTCAGATGGTGTCGCTATCTCAGGGCATGAGCCGCTTGGCTCGGCTGCGAAAACTGGAGCTGGTTGACTGTGACACCTTGCAGCACCTCCCTGAATGCCTCACCCAGCTGCACCACCTGATACTGTGGCACACCCCCATCCGCTCCCTCCCTGGGAATCTTGTGCAGCTAACTGAACAGCCTTGACTCAGCTGGTTTTCTGCACGTGGAGACTGCCTCAGAGGCCGTGACTCGGTCTATCACCACTCGCTGCAGTCCTCAGAGGTTGCTTGCAATGTCTCAGTGCTGACTTGTGTGAGCGAAGCGTCTTGTGCATGGTCTGGATGGGCTGCACCTGTGAAGGTGGAAATAAAGCTGCTGCCATGGGAGATGATGAATGACTAGATGGGACTGTGTTGGGACTTGTAGTGTGCTCTTTGGTCTTGCTTGCCTTGTACCAACACCTAAATATTCTCACTGTGACATCTGAATTTGAAATACTGTATGCATCAGTAGAGGTTACTTGTTCTGAAAAGTACGGTATATTATCAGAGATTGAATGTGAGTAATTCGCGTAAACATAATGCTTGTCATACATGCATAACGCTATGCGTTCTGTGATGTCACGCCACTCCCCAATTTCCCACTCTTATACACTCCCCACTACTCTACTATCCCCTTACCCTGCCTCCAACCCACTCCTATCCCCCCACTGCAGTCACATTGCCCACTTCTCATACCTTCGTTCCCCTAATAACCCCCATTGTTCTCATGGCCCCCATTCTTCCCAAACCCACCACTTCTATCATACCCCCGCCCCCGCTCCCCCCATATCGTCACTCCTCCCATCGTTTCCACTCCTCCAGTACGCTCGAGGTTGCAAGAAATGTGGTCAGCTCTGTATTTCTGAGCCCTTGGTGTGTAAGGGTTGGTCTGCGCGCATGTTGTTTACCTTTGGGACCATGATTTGAGACATTGAGAGCATGCAATACCTCATGCATAAAGAAAATTAATAAGCAAAGCATTATGCTTCGAGAAACTGGGTAGAAGGTACTGCAGTATTTGGTTAGGCGATTGCTCCCTAATGCTGCCTCTGACTGATGCTTGTGAGGAAAAGCGTCTTGCAAGCTGGCCTGAACCAGTGAGGCTGGTGGCAGAGAGGATGAGGGAATTGAGTGGACTGGACAGCTGAGAAATTTGTAGTGTTTTCCTTGATATTTCTTGTCTTGAATATTCTTGTATGCAGGATGCATACTCAAACCAATGATAGTGCGAGAATAACAAAACTGTTTAGGATACGTTATCAAGTCTGGGCTTGGTAGCATCTGTGGACCAACCCAGTTAGTCTGTCAGTCATCATGTCGACAGATAGACAAGCGGAAGCAGCTGTGAATGCTGCCAGGAGGACAGCTGACCATTATGGAACCTCACCAACATAATTACCGTATGTACTATTCAGTTCACATTCCTGTGTTAAGAAAGCCACATCATCCTCGTCTTGTCACAATCTCTTAACAGGTTACTTTGTCAACTGCTGAATTGTAAGTTTCCCCATGACAGCTGATGCAGCACAGCCCTTATATGTCCTGAGCTATGCGAGGAAAGAGGGAAAACTGGATGGGGTGAGATAGCGAATGAGGGCTTGGCGAATGATAAGAGGGTGTTTGTGAATGCAGCAGGTGGCTATTCTTGGCAAAAGTGAAACCGCGGAATACTTTGTGAAGATGCGTCATGGCAACCAGCAAGGGTCTTGATGCTCCAATCCAGTTGCCAACTTAATCCGACTTAAAATCAGGCGAGTCATGGTACGGTTTTTGTAGCTTGATACACTGTCATTTATATCACCTGTGTGACAAGGTTGATATCGCCAATGTGGGGATCGGTGTGGAGTTGCCATGGAGCCATTGCGAGTGGCTACCTGTAGGATGGTTGTGAGTGTGAGTGGAGATGGGCGGGCCACGTGAGTTGAGAATGTGGTTATAGTCAATGTAAGATTCTTACCTCCATTTGCTCTCCAATTTCCTCCCCTTCCCCTCCCAATCTATGATTCCATCGTGCCACCCAGATCCAGTGGCACCCCCCCCATTCCATCCATCCAGCCTCACATTCATGTATTACACTGGCATTTGTGTACCCTAAACCGACTTGAGTATCCCTAACATCTGCCCCGACCGCACAAGCACATTACTTACAAAGGCAACCCCCTCTCCTTTCCCCTTCCCTTTACCCTCGTCCCCCCTTCTCCCCTTACACACCCTCTAGCTCCGCACCTGCTTCTCCCTTACCGACTTTCGACCCACATTTCGCCCCTTTAGGACACTGTTTCCAAGTCCTAGATTGGTATCACAAGGAACTTGCGCATTGTTCCATTTGCGGGTTTCTGAGGGAACTCCCTTGCCATGGCTGTAATGCACCTTTCCTTCTTTCCCACCCCAGCACATATCCCACACCAAATTTTGCCCTTCAGAGTCCTGCCTCTACAACATTGTCTCACACATCCCTCTCATAAGGTACTGTGCTGTTTATCCGTCCACACTCTCCACATCCCTTCCTCCCCCTTCCCACCCCCTCCAGCTCCGCACCTGCGTCTCCAACTACTGCTCCACCGCCTCCCGTCCGTTGCATGCTGGGTGCCCTGTGGCCGTCTGTCCCTTGAAGAATGAACAGAGGGAGAAGGAGGCGCGCGATGAAAAGTATGTGTTTAAGTTATGGTTCACCTGGTCAGTGGCAGGCGAAGCTAGGCGAGGCTGGGAAGTTTGGTTCCCCGTGGGCAGCCTTTGAGTGTAGACAAGCAAAGGAAGGAGGTGGGTACATCACAAAAACCCCCCTATTATATTGGTCAATTATTGCCCCAACTTTGGTGTTTCCATCCAAAATTGGACCATTAATGGTCTCATTGTTTGGTACAATCTTGGTATAGTTGCTAATATGAACTTTGGGCTATGTTTGGCCACAGTTTTGGTGATTCTGATGACCATTTTTTCTCCAAGCCTACTCTCAACTTTATCCCAAGTTGAACCAAGTATGGTCCCAATCTAGAGTCTCCTGTGTCTTGGGTTGGCCCTATACCATTCTGTCATTTGCATGAAATTTCTGTTTGAAATATTTTTTTATTGCAAAATCAAAATACAGCATATTGTACATCTAGATACAGCAAAACATTGCATTACAACTGTACTGCTCCTACACTACACTGTTGAAAGGTTACTAAATCCTTCTGCTAAAGCTACTGGTGGCTGCTACTGGCACTGCTATGCTCCTCCGCACCTGTCTCCCTGTTGCTGCTACTGGTTGCTACTGCCACTGCTATGCTCCTCCGCACCTGTCCCCCTGCTGGCCCTGCTGCTCCGCACCTGTCCCCCCCCCTGCTGCTACTAGTTGCTACTGCCACTGCTACGCCCCACTGCACCTGTCTCCCCGCTGCTCCTGCAGGTTTATAATGCCGCTGCTACTCCCCTCTGCACCTGTCTCCCTGCTGCTCCTGCAGGTTGCTAATGCTACTGCTACGCCCCTCTGCACCCGTCTCCCTGCTGCTCCTGCAGGTTGCTACTGCCGCTGCTACGCCCCTCCTCACCTGCAGATTGCTACTGCCTTTGCTATGCCCCTCGTTTTCCTGTTATCCTGCTGTTCCTGCAGATTGCTGCTGCCACTAATGTGCCCTTCCGCACGTGTCCCCCTGCTGCTGTCTCAGATTGGTGCATCCACTGCTATGCCCCTTGTTTTCCCGTCCCGTTGTTGTTCCTGCTGATTGCTACTTCCACTGATGCGCCCTTCTGCACTTGTCCCCCTGCTGCTGTTGCAAATTTTTGCATCCGCTGATATGCCCCTCGTTTTCTGTCTTACTGCTCCTGCAGATTTCTACAGCCACTGAAATGCCCCTCTGCACCGTTCCCCCTGCTCCCGCTGCAGTTTGCTACTGCCTCTGCTTAGCCCCTCCGCACCGATCCCCCTGCTGCTGCTGCAGATTGCTACTGCCACTGCGTAGCCCCTCCACACCGATCCCCCTGCTGCTGCTGCAGATTGCTACTGCCACTACTAAGCCCCTCCGCACATGTCCCCCTAGTGCTGCTGTAGATCTCTGTGATCACGGGTTGGGGGTGACAACCCGGGCTGGTGCAGGTCGTGCTGCCTGCGCAAAGAGGGATGGGGGACGGAAGGAAGGGGACAGTAGAGACGGGAGGAAGGGGACGGAAGAGATGGGAGGAAGGGGAAGGGGACGGAAGAGATGGTGAGTGATGCAACAAAGCTGGTGCCACAGCACGGCGTTGGTGCCACATGAGCATTGTGTTGGAGCCATCTCAGCAAGGTTTTGGTCCTATCAATGTCTTACCTGCACCCTGCTGACAAGGGTCTCCATGTCAGACGCGTCGATGTAGACGCCGTTGGGGAAGTTGAATGTGTTCGTGTTGCTGGCGTATGGGACACCATGGTCCATGACAGCGATCTCGACCTCCTGCTTCACACGGGTGCACATCTCCTCGTACTGGATCCGATTGTACTCCCACTTGCCGCTCAACTTCCCATCGGGCGCATTGTTAAGGATTGGCCACTCGAACTGTAGGAATATGGTGGGGATGAGGTGGGGATGTAGTGGAATAGATGAACAGACAAGGGTTAACACACGAAAACGCTAGATGGCTCACCGCATACGTGGCATCAAACATAGCAACATGTCCATACACTCACTGCATATAAGATCCAGCCCAGCTGGCGGGTCTTAATCTTCTCGGTATTGACCCCACGGCGCGCCAAAGCCAACTTGATGGACACCGAGAAGATGAGGCTGCCGAACGGGATGAGGAGCTCACGGTGCCAAGCCAGTCCCCTCTCCCCTGTAATGGGATTTTGTGGTGATAGGAAACAAAGGGATGAAAATTGCTGACTCTATGGTGAATAGGGGGCAACCGAAAGTGGAAAGGAGGAACGAAATCATACATATACATATGATTGCAACACACATAACAGCAACTATGGGATCAAAGGCTGCATACAAACTCACCATCCTTGTAACGCTCAATGAGTTCCTCATCCGTGTAGAACTCGTGTGGTGCAAGTAGATCTGCTGGTAACCTCCCGATGTAACACTTGTTCGCCTGTCGACCCAACGCCGTGAGCGCCACCTTTCTCATCCAGCCGTTGATAGTAATCCTAGTTGAAGACAGCTGCTAAAAAAAAACCCCTCTGGTGCTGGCATCATTGTGCTGAAAGAGCACACGCAACGAGGCAAGAACCTGCGGCGACACAAACTCGCTAAACCCATGAACTAAGGCCTCCTCCGCAGATGGGTAGAACTGAATCATTGAGGCTTCAATGTTGAAGCAAAGATGTGTTGCTACACGCCTAGCAAGTTCCTGCAGAGTGGAGGGGGATGGGTGGCAGATATGCAAACAAGAGGTAAGGGTTTGCAAGTGGGGTTTAGTGTTGAGGGTAACGTGGGCAGATAGTTGGAGCATGCATCTAGGTTTAGGGAAAGCTTCAGCTCCCTATATTTGGATGGGGGAGCAAGTGGGGTTTAGAGTTGAGGGTAGAAGGGACAGACTGTTGGAGCATGAGTCAAGGTTTAGAAGCTCCATCTCCCAGTTCCTGGCTGGGTAAGCAAGAGAGGTTTAGGGTTGAGGAGAGAGGGGGCAGATTTTCAAAGCATAAGTCATGGTTTAGGGTTGATGGTAGTAGGGGCAGACAGTCAAAGCAGAAGTCATGGTTAGGTAAAGCCTCACCTCCCTATACCTGGATGGGGAAGCAGGTGGGGTTTAAGGTTGAAGGGAGAGGGGCAAGCAGGCAGGCAGAGGGGAGTCAAGGTTTAGGTAAATCTTCACCTCACTAGACCTGGATGGGGAAGCAAGCGGGGTTTAGGGTTGAAGGGAGAGGGGCAGGCAGGCAGAAGGGAGTCAGGGTTTAGGTATTGCCTCACCCCCTGAGACCGGGATGGGGAAGCAAGTGGGGTTTAGGGTTGATGGTAGTGGGGGCAGACAGTCAAAGCAGAAGTCATGGTTAGGTGAGGCCTCACCTCCCTATACCTGGATGGGGAAGCAGGTGGGTTTAGGGTTGAAGGGAGAGGGGCAGGCAGGCAGAGGGGAGTCACGGTTTACGTATTGCCTCACCCCCTTAGACCTGGACAGGGAAGCAAGTGGGGTTTCGGGTTGAGGGGAGAGGGGCAGGCAGGCAGAAGGGAGTCAGGGTTTAGGTATTGCCTCACCCCCTGAGACCTGGATGGGGAAGCAAGTGGGGTTTAGGGTTGAGGGGAGAGGGGCAGGCAGGCAGAAGGGAGTCAGGGTTTAGGTATTGCCTCACCCCCTTAGACCTGGACAGGGAAGCAAGTGGGGTTTCGGGTTGAGGGGAGAGGGGCAGGCAGGCAGAAGGGAGTCAGGGTTTAGGTATTGCCTCACCCCCTGAGACCTGGATGGGGAAGCAAGTGGGGTTTAGGGTTGAGAGGAGAGGGGCAGGCAGGCAGAAGGGAGTCAGGGTTTAGGTATTGCCTCACCCCCTTAGACCTGGACAGGGAAGCAAGTGGGGTTTCGGGTTGAGGGGAGAGGGGCAGGCAGGGAGAAGGGAGTCAGGGTTTAGGTATTGCCTCACCCCCTGAGACCTGGATGGGGAAGCAAGTGGGGTTTAGGGTTGATGGTAGTGGGGGCAGACAGTCAAAGCAGAAGTCATGGTTAGGTGAGGCCTCACCTCCCTATACCTGGATGGGGAAGCAGGTGGGTTTAGGGTTGAAGGGAGAGGGGCAGGCAGGCAGAGGGGAGTCAGGGTTTACGTATTGCCTCACCCCCTTAGACCTGGACAGGGAAGCAAGTGGGGTTTAGGGTTGAGGGGAGAGGGGCAGGCAGGCAGAAGGGAGTCAGGGTTTAGGTATTGCCTCACCCCCTTAGACCTGGACAGGGAAGCAAGTGGGGTTTCGGGTTGAGGGGAGAGGGGCAGGCAGGCAGAGGGGAGTCAGGGTTTATGTAAAGCCTCACCTCCCTAGACCTGGATTGGGGAAGCAAGTGGGGTTTAGGGTTGAGGGTAGGAGGGATGGACTGGCACAGCGTGAGTCAGTGTTTGGGAAAAGCGTCAACTCCCTAGTTCTGGTTGGGGAAGCAATTGGGGTTTAGGATCGAGGGGTGAGTGTGCAGACTGGTCGAGTAGGAGTCTAGGAAACGCATACGCAGTGTATCACAGGCAACGCACCTTGAAGTCGACTACAGCTTTGTAGACGATTTCGCGGTGGATTGCCAGGGGACTATTGCCAGAGGGAAGGCCTTCCGACGAGCTGGTGCTCGGGCCAGAATGGGGAGGTGTTGTTGCAGGCGCTCCGATTGGGAGGGATTGGCCAGCACCCCGACCCATGGCCGACAGCATTTCGGCAAACCTCGCCATCATGCGTCGCTCGAATTGGTCAAGGTCCGCGTTTGTTGCACCACCACGCTCCCGGCGGCGATTGTCGGATGCCGCCACAAACGGGGTTTTCTTGGCGGGTACAAGATCAAAACGCTTGGTGGCTAGGCTGAGAACCTTCACTGGTGGCGCAGCTCCGGAGTCCTTGGTTGCTGCTGGGAGGAACGTGACAGAAAGGATAGGAGGAACGTGACAGAAGGGATGGGAGTTGGGTGACGGGAGGGATGGGAGATGGGTGACGGGAGGGATGGGAGGAAGCTAGACAGAAGGGATGGGCTGATTGGTTTACGGCATGGATTGGACGAGAGCTGACGGTAGGGATGGGACTGCAGGGATGGGAGGATAGGGTACGGCAAGGAAAGGGACAACAGGGATGGGACTACAGAGAAAGGATGGGACAGTGCCTTGGGACATCAACAAACATGCCACAAATAGAAAGGCAACATAAGGGCAATAGCCCTAGTTCACTGAAACACGCACCTTAACGAGGCAACGTTCTCACCATCGGTTTTGGTGTTGCCCTTCTTAGTGGTCGCTTTAGCCCCACCGCCCGCTTTAGCCTTTACCCCTCTTGCCCCAGCGCCTGCTGCCTTTGGAATTACCTTCGTTTTGCCCGCCACTTCACTGGTGTTCCGCTTTTTTGATGCACCTCCAACCACCAAGGCGGACTCCTCCCGTTTCGTCTTTCCACCAGGGCTACTCTCTTTCGCCATCCCTTTCTCCACCACTTTCTCCACCACTTTCTCCACCACTTTCTCCTTACCCTTAGCCATGGCGACAGCATGTCTCCCTGGAGGTGGCTTAGCCGGAACCTTAGAGGGTCCTGAACGCGACTGTGCTTTCACACCCTTTCCAGCGAGCTTCGAGCTGACAACGGGTTCCTGGATCGCATCAAGTGCCTTCAGCTTCCCAAGCAGCAAAGCTCGTTCCTCTGCCATAGCCTCATCCTCCACGGCATCACCTTCATTGTCATCCTGCTCTTCCAGCATCTCGTCAAAGCTTGTTTTTTCCGTGACGTCAGGCTTATGAGCATCCGCACAGGCAGGCACTTCCGCCATACCGTTTTCCTCATTCCTCTCCACTGCCTCCTCATCCCCCTGCTCATCGTCCGACTCTCCACCTTCCTCGTCCGACGGCTCGTCCCTGGACTCATCTTCCGACTCATTGCCGGACTCCCCACCCTCTTCGTCCTCCGCCTCGCCATCTTCCTCTTCCTCCGCCTCTTCCTCGGCCTCGTCCTCCGCCTCTTCCTCCGCCTTTTCCTCCTCATCTTCCTCCGCATCTTCGTCGGCCTCTTCTTCCGCCTCGTGCGGAGCCTCGTGCTCTGCCTCGTCCTCAGCCTCATCCTCAGCCTCGGCCTCAGCCTCGTCCTCAGCCTCGGCCTCGTGTCCCGACTTGCCGTTGGCCTCTGCCTCGTCCAAATCGTCGCCCTGTCGTTTGTTCCACGCAGCTGTAACAGGTTCAGCGTCTTCTTCGGTAGCATCCGCACCTTCAGCGTACCACACTCTCGCCTTTCGAGGGCGGTTGGACTTGTGAATATCGCCCCCAGGTGGGCCCTCTCCGCTAGATGACCTGGATTTCGGCGGAACCACTGTTCCCTTCTTCTTCGTAGTCTGCTTGACCTTGCTGGGAGATCGTGCCGAGACACCTTTGGCAGAGTTCTTCTTCCCAGACTTCGAGACCTGCAGTTTAGTCGACATTATGCAGACAGGGCCAGAGAAAATCGAGAAACGCTGGGAAAATCTAACGTAGCAAAGTATATCGGTTTGCACTGTGGATTGGTAAGTGCTACTAGTGTCGAAACATGTCTTCTTAAACATTCAGGAGATGCAGAAACGAGCCATCATTTAGGAACCGAAAACGTACAGCGTGTTCCGGTTGCGGTCAGTTGACGGGTCGGGTACTCAGAGCTTGAAGCAGCCCGATTCGGGAACGGGCGCTTTCTACGCCACGCGCTTATAACAATTTGGTATGGGCTTTAGGGCGGCGCGGCTTGACTCCCGGAAAGAAACTGGACGTGGGTGATACTAGGGAGGCCCCAGAAGCCACTATGTTCGCAGAGGGTAAGGCAGTACGTGGCGCTATGATACGTGCCATTCTGAGAGTACGTGAAAAACGGACGGAACAGGATATCGTGGAAGCGCGTGGTCGATTGTGTGTGCATAGGAGAGTCGCGTGGGTCGCGGTTAGACCATGTCAGAGGTAAGTCGCTAGGAAAAGCGGGGGAAAACTGTCTTGCGGTGCCGAAGGAAAGACGCTCTCGTGACGGTGTTGGTCTTTCAGCGTCGTGACTGCTATCGCGAACGGTAGCACAGGACCAGAGAGTCGTGAGAGACGATGGTGGCAGATGAACTGCTAGGCGTGGCCGTGGGCTCGGGTTCGAGGTGGTTGATGATAATGTAGGTTTGATACAGTACAAAACGACGACAGTGGCCAGCACCACATGGCAGAATTGTGGTTTGCGTGGCAGCTTTGTGGTTTGTGCGGCAGGGCAGCTCTGTAGTTTTCATGGCAGCTTCGTGGGTGCGTGGCAATGTGGCAGTACAGTGCAGAACAGTAAAGTTCCGAACTGACCCTAGGAGCAGTGGTAGGAATTTCGCAACAGTCCACTGACCCTATCAAGGCAGAACTACTTCTCGTCGCATCCCGTCACTTAGCCTGCAATTGGCAATCGGCGCACCTGGTGATGACCCTTTTGGTAAACCGGTACATTGTGAGCAGAAAAAACTTTTCCCGAGAACGTTGGGATGTTTCTCTACTTACTAAATGCCAAATGCGTTCTAGTTGCTTGTTTTTCTGAAACAGCTGTTGGATTTGTCTGAAAGATTGTTCCCAAAAGATTGAAAACTCAAGCACACGAAGTCGGCTTTGCAGTCCCACCGCAGTTCTCACCGTTTCTTAGACTGCAACGTGTGTCTTCGTTTTGCGGCCGCTGAAGGCGCTTGCTCACTACTAAAACGTCGCTCAGCACACGCGGTCGCTATTAACAGAAGAAATTATCCTGCCCCCTATATTTTGGTGCGTTTCAAGTGGCCACGAGGCAACCAGATGTGAAAGGCCTCGATGCGACCAAAAGACATAACCGCGTGCACAACGATCCAAAAATTGCAGCCAGAATCTGCTCTGATTCTGATTCGGCTCTGCACAATGGCCACTAGCAGCATTTCAACGGGTTCTCTTTGACAGTTTGGGACCCATCCAAATTTGATAGTACACCTGCTATATTTGCATGCACAAGATCTTACATAATAGTGCACTTTTTTATCTGTTGAATACTTGAGAGTTTTGATTGTAATGGACAGAGTTCCCAATATGCCAATCACGTCCCAACAGGCGATTCACATCAAGGAGCAACCGTTCATCCATTTACATGCTACATAGAGTCTAGCAAGTTGAAATGATACTGTGGAAGCTCTTGGGGCGAGGAATCTTGTTATTCACTAGATTCGGAATAAAGCCTAAACTGTCAAAGCATCCTAGTATTAAAGTTCCTACTAGTATCATGAGCCTCCCATCCTGTAAGGAAATTTCCTAATTCCTTACTGAGGCACCGCTTACGCGTACATTTCCAACTTTCGGAGTTCAGGCTCGGTCCGACGACCTCGCCTCCCGAACGTCCTCCGCGTCGCCTTCGGGTTTTCCCAAACCCAAACCTACACCCAACCTCGCACGACTTCGCGACCTCAGGCTTAGCTAGCCTTGCTACATTATGCCTAGGCCCCGATGTTTGCTCAGTAGTTGTAATCACTTCCGCGATATTGCATTCTGCGCACTCTTCTTTCATACAACTCATAACACATCCCAAGATGGGCCTCGCCAGAGCACTTTTGGTTGGTCGTTTGACAAACGTGCTAGCCTAAGGCTGATATGTACAAGTTCTGGGCAGGCGTATGGGGAAAAGCGTCGATTGATAGCATCTACATTTTGGATTGGGCTCAACTCCTAGGAGGATGTTTCTAATATTATCAGGAGCCTCCCATCCCAAAATGGGTCTCGCCGGAGCACGTTTGGTTGGTCGTTCGACATCCGTACTGCCTAAGGCTGCTCTGTACAAGTTATACGCAGGCCTGTGGGGAAATGCGTCGATTTATAGCGTAGGCATTTTGGATTGAGCTTATTCTTTGTGTGGTGGAGAAAGTTAGTTCTATGAACCTCCCATCCCATTCTCAGCTCCTGCGGATCACCCTAGGTTGGTTGTTTGGAAGATGCGCTAGTTTAGCTGATTTTGCTGCGATTTCCGCTGCCATATGGGGCAAGGCATGATTACCTGCCGGCCACATCTTCGATTGAGCTGGTTCTTTGTGTGGTGACTCTGAGTAGTGCTGTGAACCTTCCATCCAATTTTCAGGTCCTGCAGAGCACTCTAGGTTGGTTGTTTGGAAGATGCGCTAGTTTAGCTGATTTTGCTGCGATTTCCGCTGCCATATGGGGCAAGGCATGATTACCTGCCGGCCACATCTTCGATTGAGCTGATTCTTTGTATGGTGACTCTGAGTAGTGCTGTGGACCTTCCATCCAATTTTCAGGTCCTGCGGAGCACTCTAGGTTGGTTGTTTGGAAGATGATATAGTTTAGTTGACTGTTATGCGATTTCCGCTGCCTTTCGGGGCAAGGCATGATTACCTACCAGCCAAATATTGGATTGATCCGATTCTTTGTATGGTGACTCTAGGAGGTGCTATGAACCTCCCGTCCCATTCTCAGCTCCTGCGGATCACCCTACGTTGGTTGTTTGGAAGATGAGCTAGTTTAGCTGATTTTGCTGCGATTTCCGCTGCCATATGGGGCAAGGCATGATTACCTGCCGGCCACATATTCGATTGAGCTGATTCTTTGTGTGGTGACTCTGAGTAGTGCTGTGAACCTTCCATCCAATTTTCAGGTCCTGCGGAGCACTCTAGGTTGGTTGTTTGGAAGATGCGCTAGTTTAGCTGATTTTGCTGCGATTTCCCCTGCCATATGGGGCAAGGCATGATTACCTGCCGGCCACATCTTCGATTGAGCTGATTCTTTGTGTGGTGACTCTGACTAGCGCTGTGGACCTTCCATCCAATTTTCAGGTCCTGCAGAGCACTCTAGGTTGGTTGTTTGGAAGATGATATAGTTTAGTTGACTGTTATGCGATTTCCGCTGCCATTCGGGGCAAGGCACGATTACCTACCAGCCAAATATTGGATTGATCCGATTCTTTGTATGGTGACTCTAGGAGGTGCTATGAACCTCCCGTCCCATTCTCAGCTCCTGCGGATCACCCTACGTTGGTTGTTTGGAAGATGAGCTAGTTTAGCTGATTTTGCTGCGATTTCCGCTGCCATATGGGGCAAGGCATGATTACCTCTCGGCCACATCTTCGATTGAGCTGATTCTTTGTGTGGTGAATCTAAGTAGTGCTGTGGACCTTCCATCCAATTTTCAGGTCCTGCGGAGCACTCTAGGTTGGTTGTTTGGAAGATGATATAGTTTAGTTGACTGTTATGCGATTAATCGTGCCTTTTCGGGGCAAGGCACGATTACCTACCAGCCAAATATTGGATTGATCCGATTCTTTGTATGGTGACTCTAGGAGATGCTATGAACCTCCCGTCCCATTCTCAGCTCCTGCGGATCACCCTTCGTTGGTTGTTTGGAAGATGAGCTAGTTTAGCTGATTTTGATGCGATTTCCGCTGCCATATGGGGCAAGGCATGATTACCTGTCGGCCACATATTCGATTGAGCTGATTCTTTGTGTGGTGAATCTAAGTGGTGCTGTGGACCTTCCATCCAATTTTCAGGTCCTGCGGAGCACTCTAGGTTGGTTGTTGGGAAGATGACATAACACGCCGGATTTTACTGCGATCCGGGCCGTCGTATGGGGCAAGCCTGATTTCCTATCCTAGAAGATATTAGTCCAATAGTCAGTAGTCAGTAGGTTCGGTTAGATGAAACCATGCTTACAAATTTCTTGATCGTAGGTTCAGTTAATAATTTTGGTCAATTCTATAAATGGCACATTTTGTTATGCATACGTCTTCTCACTTATGTGCACACCAGGGCTCGTATACAGTGTTGTGTCTAAAACTTGAATAGCATTGCATTTGACTTTCGAGGGTTTGAAGTCGTGGTGTGAGGTACAGGGAATCAGGCACTGCACGCACACACCAACCCTATCCTGAAGGCTGCAAACCTAATTTCATCAAGGTTCCCGATCCGCCCCATCGCGATTCGTGTATTGCATCTCATATCGTGCCCCCAGGTCGCGCCGTCAGCGACTCGTCGTAATCACATGGCTGTCGCGCCTCTAGCTAGCTCGCACTGTAGCGTTATTCCCCGTCACGATGTCCATCCGCTTCCTTATACTGAATGGCCTTCTCGCTATTCATCTACTCTTTGTAGTGGGTGCGTAGTTAAACGCCACGGCGATATGCAGAGGCAAAGGAACGACGGACTTATGTCGCGCTGCCATGGATCGTTCTAGTCCTGTTCGGTGTGCACATTGTGAACGAGCGTTTTCAGACTGTTTCGCGCTAGGAAGGCACCGCGCTGGCAACACACCCTGCAACCCCAACTCTGCAGAGCATCGCGCAGGCAGTGGTCCTAGGCGCCCTAACATAGCCTACATTGTGCCTGCATTGCTCCCGCGCTTCGTCAGACATGGTAGTTCCGCGCCTCAACATGCAGCTCAGGAGACACTGCCAACCTCGTCTAGTGGCGTGGGCTGTGAGAGTCGTGTTGATCCTGAGGGATCTTCTTCACATCCCTCAACGCCCCAGTCGTCCAGCCAAGGGGCGGAGCAGCCCCCAATCACATGTCCAGATAATCCTGTATCCGATTCTGCTGCAAGGCCTTCGTTTCTCGATGGCAGCGACATCCATCCCGCTTTGATACACCTATTGGAGCAACTCGATTCGCTGAATGGCGGCATGGGCCTCTCGAACATGGATACTAACAAGGTGCTGCAGTTAATTATCCATCCAGAGTTGGCCCCGCTGCTGGTAGAGGGGAATGTCCGTAGCTTCCGAGATGTGGAGAGGCTACAGAAAGAATATCTGGCTGACACGGGACGTGGATTCGAGTCGACCACATTTTATGTGGAGGGCTTTCCACCGCAAGTGATGCTTCACCGCGATCCACTTAGGGTGAGTTTGCTGTCGTAGTTTCGGGTACCCTGGATGAAACTGAAGGGCATTGGCTTGACAGTATGTCCTGTGCACATCATGCGTCACTCTCATACTGTGTAGGGTGCTAACCGGCCTGTGTACGTGCTGTATATGATATTGCAGGCCCTGGCGGATATGTTTCGGCACAAGCACAATGCGCCTGGCCTCAGAATGAGACCGAGGAGAGACAAGGACACCGAGAGTGGGCATCGGGCATATTCCACTGCAGAAACTAGCACATGGTGGCAAGAAGCACAGGTGAGTGCTATTGATAGCTGCTTGCAGTTGCGAGACATGGTGAGTGATGAGAGGGGAGGTGCAGAGTTTGTGAGTGATGGGACGGGAGGTGCAGAGATTGTGAGTGCAAGGTGAAAGGTAGTTTACACTCTCCTCACATCACTCGCACCTTGCATATGTTCCAAACCTACCACTCACCATGCATGGTCCCGGCTTTCAGCTGGTGTGCCCTTTTCGAGTCAGCAATGTTTACCGCCCAGAGACATTGCCTTTCCCCTCGACCCAATCTATCCATTCTTTGCGTTATGTGCAAGATTTCATTGGCATGGACAAGATTGTTGCGGCGCTGATAATGTACAGTGATGTCACGCACTTGAGCAACAACGGAAGGAAGAAGGCGCATCCGGTCATGATGACACTGGGCAATATTGCATTCCCTAAACGCTGGGGGCGGCCTGGGCACTCCCTGCTGGCGCTGTTACCCATCCCACCCTCGAATATGCCGTCGCACTTGAAGGTGGAGCTCTACAACGCATGTATTGCTAAGCTACTTGAGCCACTTCTCCGCCTTAAAGACAAGTGAGTGGTGCAAATGCTGGTGATTATCGAAACATTATCTGTTTGGTGAGTCATGCCCCATGAAAGGAGTGCGGCAACTTGGAAGTAATGAATATTGTTAACCTGCATGTGTTATCACCCTGTGTCATGGCTGCCCGAAAACTGTGCAGTGGTGTCATGCTGCTGGACTCAGAAGGCATCGAGCGATGGGTCGTTCCTTTGCTTTACGCTTGGGCTTGTGACTATCCCGAGTCCGGGAAACTGACATGCACCAAATCTGGCCAGGGCTGCATGAAGCCGTGCAGCCTCTGCTATGTCGACAGGGTACGTCAACATGTACACTTTGGGTGGGGATGTGCTGGGATGGGAGGTGCTGGGATGGGGATGGTGAGTGATAGTATGGTGAGTGATGGGATGGTTAGGGCTGGGATGGTGAGTGCTGGGATGGTGAGTGCTGGGATGGTGAGTGCTGGGATGGTGAGTGACGGATGGTGAGTGCTGGGATGGTGAGTGATGGGATGGTGAGGGATGGGATGGATAGTGCTGGGATGGTGAGTGCTGGGATGGTTTGTGCTGGGATGGTGAGGGATGGGATGGTTAGTGCTGGGATGGTGAGTGACGGATGGTGAGTGCTGGGATGGTGAGTGACGGGATGGTGAGGGATGGGATGGATAGTGCTGGGATGGTGAGTGCTGGATGGTGAGTGATGGGATGGTTAGTGCTGGGATGGTGAGTGATGGGATGGTGAGGGATGGGATGGATAGTGCTGGGATGGTGAGTGCTGGGATGGTTTGTGCTGGGATGGTGAGGGATGGGATGGTTAGTGCTGGGATGGTGAGTGCTGGGATGGTGAGTGATAGTATGGTGAGTGATGCGATGGTGAGTGCTGGGATGGTTAGTGCTGGGATGGTGAGGGATGGGATGGTTAGTGCTGGGATGGTGAGTGACGGATGGTGAGTGCTGGGATGGTGAGTGCTGGGATGGTGAGGGATGGGATGGATAGTGCTGGGATGGTGAGTGCTGGGATGGTGAGTGATGGGATGGTTAGTGCTGGGATGGTGAGTGATGGGATAGTGAGGGATGGGATGGATAGTGATGGGATGGTGAGTGCTGGGATGGTTAGTGCTGGGATGGTGAGTGACGGATGGTGAGTGCTGGGATGGTGAGTGACGGGATGGTGAGGGATGGGATGGATAGTGCTGGGATGGTGAGTGCTGGGATGGTGAGTGATGGGATGGTTAGTGCTGGGATGGTGAGTGATGGGATGGTGAGGGATGGGATGGATAGTGCTGGGATGGTGAGTGCTGGGATGGTTTGTGCTGGGATGGTGAGGGATGGGATGGTTAGTGCTGGGATGGTGAGTGCTGGGATGGTGAGGGATGGGATGGATAGTGCTGGGATGGTGAGTGATGGGATGGTTAGTGCTGGGATGGTGAGGGATGGGATGGTTAGTGCTGGGATGGTGAGTGACGGATGGTGAGTGCTGGGATGGTGAGTGCTGGGATGGTGAGTGCTGGGATGGTGAGTGACGGATGGTGAGTGCTGGGATGGTGAGTGATGGGATGGTGAGGGATGGGATGGATAGTGCTGGGATGGTGAGTGCTGGGATGGTTTGTGCTGGGATGGTGAGGGATGGGATGGATAGTGCTGGGATGGTGAGTGCTGAGATGGTGAGTGATGGGATGGTGAGGGATGGGATGGATAGTGCTGGGATGGTGAATGCTGGGATGGTTTGTGCTGGGATGGTGAGGGATGGGATGGTTAGTGCTGGGATGGTGAGTGACGGATGGTGAGTGCTGGGATGGTGAGTGATGGGATGGTGAGGGATGGGATGGATAGTGCTGGGATGGTGAGTGCTGGGATGGTGAGTGATGGGATGGTTACTTCTGGGATGGTGAGTGATGGGATGGTGAGGGATGGGATGGATAGTGCTGGGATGGTGAGTGCTGGGATGGTTTGTGCTGGGATGGTGAGGGATGGGATGGATAGTGCTGGGATGGTGAGTGCTGGGATGGTGAGTGATGGGATGGTTAGTGCTGGGATGGTGAGTGATGGGATGGTGAGGGATGGGATGGATAGTGCTGGGATGGTGAGTGCTGGGATGGTTTGTGCTGGGATGGTGAGGGATGGGATGGTTAGTGCTGGGATGGTGAGTGACGGATGGTGAGTGCTGGGATGGTGAGTGACGGGATGGTGAGGGATGGGATGGATAGTGCTGGGATGGTGAGTGCTGGATGGTGAGTGATGGGATGGTTAGTGCTGGGATGGTGAGTGATGGGATGGTGAGGGATGGGATGGATAGTGCTGGGATGGTGAGTGCTGGGATGGTTTGTGCTGGGATGGTGAGGGATGGGATGGTTAGTGCTGGGATGGTGAGTGCTGGGATGGTGAGTGATAGTATGGTGAGTGATGCGATGGTGAGTGCTGGGATGGTTAGTGCTGGGATGGTGAGGGATGGGATGGTTAGTGCTGGGATGGTGAGTGACGGATGGTGAGTGCTGGGATGGTGAGTGCTGGGATGGTGAGGGATGGGATGGATAGTGCTGGGATGGTGAGTGCTGGGATGGTGAGTGATGGGATGGTTAGTGCTGGGATGGTGAGTGATGGGATAGTGAGGGATGGGATGGATAGTGATGGGATGGTGAGTGCTGGGATGGTTAGTGCTGGGATGGTGAGTGACGGATGGTGAGTGCTGGGATGGTGAGTGACGGGATGGTGAGGGATGGGATGGATAGTGCTGGGATGGTGAGTGCTGGGATGGTGAGTGATGGGATGGTTAGTGCTGGGATGGTGAGTGATGGGATGGTGAGGGATGGGATGGATAGTGCTGGGATGGTGAGTGCTGGGATGGTTTGTGCTGGGATGGTGAGGGATGGGATGGTTAGTGCTGGGATGGTGAGTGCTGGGATGGTGAGGGATGGGATGGATAGTGCTGGGATGGTGAGTGATGGGATGGTTAGTGCTGGGATGGTGAGGGATGGGATGGTTAGTGCTGGGATGGTGAGTGACGGATGGTGAGTGCTGGGATGGTGAGTGCTGGGATGGTGAGTGCTGGGATGGTGAGTGACGGATGGTGAGTGCTGGGATGGTGAGTGATGGGATGGTGAGGGATGGGATGGATAGTGCTGGGATGGTGAGTGCTGGGATGGTTTGTGCTGGGATGGTGAGGGATGGGATGGATAGTGCTGGGATGGTGAGTGCTGAGATGGTGAGTGATGGGATGGTGAGGGATGGGATGGATAGTGCTGGGATGGTGAATGCTGGGATGGTTTGTGCTGGGATGGTGAGGGATGGGATGGTTAGTGCTGGGATGGTGAGTGACGGATGGTGAGTGCTGGGATGGTGAGTGATGGGATGGTGAGGGATGGGATGGATAGTGCTGGGATGGTGAGTGCTGGGATGGTGAGTGATGGGATGGTTAGTGCTGGGATGGTGAGTGATGGGATGGTGAGGGATGGGATGGATAGTGCTGGGATGGTGAGTGCTGGGATGGTTTGTGCTGGGATGGTGAGGGATGGGATGGTTAGTGCTGAGATGGTGAGTGCTGGGATGGTGAGTGATAGTATGGTGAGTGATGGGATGGTGAGTGCTGGGATGGTTAGTGCTGGGATGGTGAGGGATGGGATGGTTAGTGCTGGGATGGTGAGTGACGGATGGTGAGTGCTGGGATGGTGAGTGCTGGGATGGTGAGGGATGGGATGGATAGTGCTGGGATGGTGAGTGCTGGGATGGTGAGTGATGGGATGGTTAGTGCTGGGATGGTGAGTGATGGGATGGTGAGGGATGGGATGGATAGTGCTGGGATGGTGAGTGCTGGGATGGTTTGTGCTGGGATGGTGAGGGATGGGATGGTTAGTGCTGGGATGGTGAGTGCTGGGATGGTGAGTGATAGTATGGTGAGTGATGGGATGGTGAGTGCTGGGATGGTTAGTGCTGGGATGGTGAGGGATGGGATGGTTAGTGCTGAGATGGTGAGTGATGGATGGTGAGTGCTGGGATCATCACAAAAATCCTGCGTCCAGAAAACCTTTGAAAAGAGTTGCTTTAAAGCTTTGTTGAATGATTTATAAACGTCTTGTTTGGTACGATATTTTGAGAAAGTATATACCTTCTTCTGGATGCTTTGTCGAACGCTGTTCGCATGCTTCTGCGATGCTTGTGTGTTCAAACCTCTCAGGTGAAAACCTTCGGCAGAAGTTTGGTTGGAGTTTCCGCAGAGCAATTTCGGAGATTGGATCTCATTGCATTGTACTCTTCAAGGACATCCGGTTTAGTTATAATGAAGTTGGATTGGAGACTTGCAATGGTTAACATGTTGTTTAACAAGATGTTTAGTTGCCTCATCCTAGCATCCAAAATGACCATTACTGAAGCGTTGGTAAATGGGTTTTATTCTCAACAAAAAAGGCACATACAAGAGCATCCTACACCCCACTCTCTCTAGTCAAAGACCCCCGCCTCTTAGGGTGATCTGCATCAACCTGCTTCTCATGCTCCCGTACACTATGCCTCCCACTACACCCCATGTCTCGTGCTCTAGGCCGAGCATGCTCGCCCCTACACCTAGCCCCCATGATCCATGCCTTGGCTGCGACCCCACTTCCTGCCTCTCTTCCTGCATCTCCCATCCCTCCTTCACTAATTGTGGTACTATTGCCCTGCCCGTGCGTCCACTGCTTCCTCGCATGTCCAGCCCTGTCATGCGTCTGCTGCTCCGCCTTAGACATCCTCCAGTCAAGCCTTTACTGCTGCTTGCTTTGTCCTATCCGGTCATGCCTATACTGCTGCGGCCCTTGCACCACTCCCCTCCGTAATGCTGTCCCCCTTTCTCTATCCACACGTGCCTTCCCTGATGCCCCCCTTGCTGTCTCCACCAATGCCTCTCCTCGCACGTATGTGATGCCTCTCCTGCTGTCCCCTTTTGTAAACTCCACGCATGCCTCATCTGCATCCCCCCTTGTCTCGTCACACCATCATTTGGCCCTCTTGCCTCCCCTTCTTTTGCCATTTTCGTGCCTTTTGCCCTTCCTCCGCTCCTGGCCCCCCTGCTTCTCATCCTCATCCTCATCCTCTTCCTCCTCTTTCTCCTCTTCCTCCTCTTCCTCCTCTTCCACTTCCCTCCAACCTCCCTTGCCTCTGCCTCTCTTGTGCTTTCTACCCTTCCTCCGCGACTGCCCCCCCTGTTTCTCATCCTCCTGCTCCTCCTCTTCCTCATCTTCCTCCACTTCCTCTTCCCTCCTGCTTCCCTGCCCTCTGCCTCTCTTGTGCTTCCTGCCCTTCCTCCGCTCCTGCCCCCCCTGTTTCTTATCCCCCAGCTCCTCTTCCTTCTCCTCTTCCTCGTCTGCTTCCCTCCTGCCTCCCCTGGTTTTCCCTCCCTTGTGCCTTCTGCCCTTCCTAAGCTCTTGCCCCCCCCGTTTCTCATCCTCTTCCTCATCCCTCCCGCCTGCCCTAGGTCTCTTGTGCCTTTTCCTCTTCCTCTGCTCCTGCCCCCACTGTTCCTCGTCCTCCTCCTCCTCCTCCTCCTCGTCCTCCTCCTCGTCATCCTCCTGCTCCTCCTCCTCCTCCTCCTCCTCCTCCTCCTCATCCTCCTCCTCCTTATCCTCCTCCATGTCCTCCGAGTCGTACACCTCCTTTTCTTCCTCCTTCAGGTCCTTCGTTTCGGCATCAAGCTCAGCCTTCCCCCGGAAGGCCTCAAATCCTGACTCGTGAACATACAGCCCACGGTCGCCCCACTTGAAGCCCTTCACGTCTGTGTTGTACACGGGGGTGTGGCGTGTGAAGTGGTCCTTGATAATCCACCGCACATTACGGTGCAAACCCCCCATCCATTCACTGTTCTTCCGGTGGGAGTTGGAGACGTTCCAGTCAGTCCTCTTAACCTTTGATAGGCCCTGGTCAATCTGAAAAGGCATAGCACAGTATGGGATGGAGGAAAAACACCAACTTCAGTGGACACTCGCGTGCAGAGTTTAGAGGCTGCGCTAAATGCCCCACATACCATGCCGAGGGACTATAAAACAGCATGCCAAGCTAGAGCATACCATGGGTTGAGCAATAATTGCGTACCACCATGATTGACCAGGCAATGTGGTATGCTTTGACGCACACCCGGCGCCCGACACAGAAATTCCGAAATGCTTCCCGGACCGCATCTACAAACCGGCCGTTGGCAAACGGGAGCCCGTCTCTGTTGTTTCCCCACGAGCTGACCCGCTGTTTCCCTCCTGCGCGCATGTATGAGAATGCGGGGAAGCATGAGACATCCGTGATCATGCATGACTCATGGTTTAGGGTTGTCCAAAGGGTATGGATGAACATCGAGGGCGGGGGGGAATGAATGGCGAGAGGGCGGGAGAGTAGGGGTGGGCGGGAGATAGGGGGAGGGCGGGAGAGAAGGGGAGGGCGGGAGAGAAGGGGAGGGCGGTAGAGGAAGGGAGGGCGGGAGAGAAGGGGGTGGCGGGAGAGAAGAGGAGGGCGGGAGTTAAATGGGGGGCGGGAGAAGGGGAGTGTGGGAGAAGAACCAACGGATGGCTGTCATGCGGATGTGTTTGCACATGCGCTACAAGCATGGGCGAGGAGAGCAGGTATGTAGTCGCGTGCCAAAGTGGGGATGCATTGGGGGTACGTGCTTCATCAACGTGGGGCATGCACGAGGGGTGCATGAGCAGACATGTCAATAGGGGATGGAAAACAGTCACGCAAGTACTCACTCGGTTGGTATTTTTTCCACATCTTCCGCTTCTTCTTGGTGCCCATCCACAGTTCGGCTGCACGCAGGCCTTCCACCTTGTTGCCGAAAGTGACGAGCACTCTGCGCTTGAGGTGGAAGCCACGTTCGTTCTTCCATGACGTCCAGGCGCGTTTAAAAGCGCCTATGATGTTTTTGTCTTCCATAGCCTCTCGGAGCTGCATCATGTTGATGATGTGCGTCTCGCTGATAACCTCATACAACACCTGCACGCGCTGTTCGAGCGTTGGGTAGAAGTCTATGGCATGGTCTGGCGCCTCGAGGCACATCCGGTCCCGCCCCTCTGCGAAATGAACCTACGACAGCCGGATGGATAGGAAAAAAGGATATGTGGGTGACTCCCAAAGAAGGGCGGAAACCAGAGGTCGAGAGAGTGGGATTTGGGTAACACGTGCCGCAGGCCACCCGCACCACCACCAGCACCATGAACAGGGGCTCTGGTTGAGGTAGGGGAGAGCAGGGAGATAGAGGGGGGAGAGAGGGGATGAACTAGTCTGAGTGAAATCATATGGGAGAGGGAGCAGAGTGTGAGAGCACCGTACGGACTGCGTAAGGGGTCATGTTCTCCTCGTACTAAGAGTCACAACCCCCGCTGCAGCCCGGCCCGCTACACGCTGGCGCCGCATGCCACACACGCGACCAGAAGCACCGTTTAGAGGGGCTCTGGAAGAGGAGGGAGAGGGGTGGGATAGAGGGGGGGGGGGGGGGGGGGGGAGCAAGCGGAAAGAAGGGATTGGGCACGTGGGGATGACAGAGAGTGCTGCTGCTATCTCTGCGCCGCATGCCACCCACACCAGACCAGCAGCACCGTTTAGAGGGGCTCTGGAAGAGGAGGGAGAGGGGTGGGATAGAGAGGGGGGGGAGGAGCAAGCGGAAAGAAGGGATTGGGCACGTGGGGAAGACAGAGAGTGCTGCTGCAATCTCTGCGCCGCATGCCACCCACACCAGACCAGCAGCACCGTTTAGAGGGGCTCTGGAAGAGGAGGGAGAGGGGTGGGATAGAGAGGGGGGGGGAGGAGCAAGCGGAAAGAAGGGATTGGGCACGTGGGGATGACAGAGAGTGCTGCTGCAATCTCTGCGCCGCATGCCACCCACACCAGACCAGCAGCACCGTTTAGAGGGGCTCTGGAAGAGGAGGGAGAGGGGTGGGATAGAGAGGGGGGGGGGAGGAGCAAGCGGAAAGAAGGGATTGGGCACGTGGGGATGACAGAGAGTGCTGCTGCAATCTCTGCGCCGCATGCCACCTACACCAGACCAGCAGCACCGTTTAGAGGGGCTCTGGAAGAGGAGGGAGAGGGGTGGGATAGAGAGGGGGGGGGAGGAGCAAGCGGAAAGAAGGGATTGGGCACGTGGGGATGTCAGAGAGTGCTGCTGCTATCTCTGCGCCGCATGCCACCCACACCAGACCAGCAGCACCGTTTAGAGGGGCTCTGGAAGAGGAGGGAGAGGGGTGGGATAGAGAGGGGGGGGGGGGGGGGGGGGGGGGGAGCAAGCGGAAAGAAGGGATTGGGCACATGGGGATGGCAGAGAGTGCTGCTGCTATCTCTGCGCCGCATGCCACCCACACCAGACCAGCAGCACCGTTTAGAGGGGCTCTGGAAGAGGAGGGAGAGGGGTGGGATAGGGGGGGGGGAGCAAGCGGAAAGAAGGGATTGGGCACGTGGGGATGACAGAGAGTGCTGCTGCTATCTCTGCGCCGCATGCCACCCACACCAGACCAGCAGCACCATTTAGAGGGGCTCTGGAAGAGGAGGGAGAGGGGTGGGATAGAGAGGGGGGGGAGGAGCAAGCGGAAAGAAGGGATTGGGCACGTGGGGATGACAGAGAGTGCTGCTGCAATCTCTGCGCCGCATGCCACCCACACCAGACCAGCAGCACCGTTTAGAGGGGCTCTGGAAGAGGAGGGAGAGGGGTGGGATAGAGAGGGGGGGGGGGGAGCAAGCGGAAAGAAGGGATTGGGCACATGGGGATGTCAGAGAGTGCTGCTGCTATCTCTGCGCCGCATGCCACCCACACCAGACCAGCAGCACCGTTTAGAGGGGCTCTGGAAGAGGAGGGAGAGGGGTGGGATAGAGAGGGGGGGGGGGGGGGGGGGGGGGGAGCAAGCGGAAAGAAGGGATTGGGCACATGGGGATGACAGAGAGTGCTGCTGCTATCTCTGCGCCGCATGCCACCCACACCAGACCAGCAGCACCGTTTAGAGGGGCTCTGGAAGAGGAGGGGGAGGGGTGGGATAGAGAG